GAGGAGTACCACCGATGATGGCATCCTAGAGAGGTGAGAGCAGCGGAGGAGTACCACCGATGATGGCATCCTAGAGAGGTGAGAGCAGCAGCGGAGGAGTACCACCGATGATGGCATCCTAGAGAGAGCCAAGAGGGCCTAAGGCCTGCTGGTGATGCCGAGAAGGGGCCCATGTTTCCAGTGTTAAATAGTGTCCAAGAGAATGTTCTTGCAGGAGGAGTGATGGAGCCCAGGGAAGCTGAGTAAAATTGTCACGGTGACATCTGGGGGGAGCTCTTTTGATTTCCTATCACTGGTATTAGGGACCCTGTGGTGAGGCTGGTCTCCTGGGACCCTCCTCTGACATATGCATGCAGATCACCTCAAGACTCCCTTACAGTTACAATATTGGTCTTAAAATAAATTTAAAAACCAAAACATTGCCGCAAAGTTCAAAGCAAACACACACAAGACTGAAATGGAGACAATGCTCAGCTGAGGTACTGGGCTGGATGAATTCATGGTTTTGAGGGAAAGAACTCTGGAGAGGCACAACTACCGTGGATGACTCACTTGATGACTTTGGTGTCCTGGGAACCACAGGATTTTGGGAGAGGGACCTGGGGTCAGAGAAGTCCCTACTTGGGCTTTACATCAGAGCATCCTGATGGCCCCTTCTGAACTCAGTTTTCTATTAGTCTTATCCATTTGCAGCATCCAGACAAGCCAGTATTTCCATTTCCACCAAGTGCTTGCATTAGTGAACTCACATGTAGGCGAGGTAGCACATAAACAGCCCCACCGTGGAGGCTTCCCTGAGCCGCTGACACAGTGCCTCCTTCCACACCCCACCTCTCTGTGCAGTGGAGTTCTGCCGAAGCAGAGAACCTAACCTAATGTCGCCTGCCTCTTCTCTTCCTGGTGACTCCTGGGACTTAGAGGTAAGAGAAAGGAATGTTACAGAAATGTTAGCTACAATGTTTAAAGACTTCATAAGCAATGTTTTCACTTGGTTAAAAAGCATGCTTGAGACTTAGCACATTTCCAAACCTGGGTTTAGAGGCCAAAAGCAAGTTTAAAAATGCAGATGGTACTAAAATGCCATGTGGGACATGGGAGATGAGGAAACAGTGGAGAAGCCCACTCTAGACACGTGGCGCTGGGAAAGAATTCGGTTCCAATCGTGCAGTGAAACAGAAAGTAACCAGGCAAGGCTGCTTCTTACCATAAAAAGCGGGTCTCAACCCAACTGGGGTTGGGAAGCTGCACAGATAGCCAAGATGGACTCACTCATCTTTCATCCTTAATGCCAGGGGGAGCTTGGCTTCTCCGCTGGCTGAGGTTCGACCTCGCAGTCTACCCTGGTCTGGCTAACCTGGAAAGCGGCGAGGAGGAGGAAATGTAGGGAAGAGGAAAATGGTCAAGTTCCAGGAATTCAGCCGGGCCTTTACTTCAGTTTTACAGGGTAGGGAGATGAAAAGATTTGAATAAAAGTTTTACAAGGTGGGAGTAGAAACCTTTATTGGATGGAGGGTCTTGAGACAGCAGCTCACTGTGTAGCCAACGCTGGTTTTTAATTCAAGACCTAAGCTGGATAGGAGGCTCAGTGGTTAAGGGCACCCAGGCCTGTCTCCCAGCACACACATGGTGACTCACAACTCCAGGTCCAGGACATTCGATGTTTCTTCTGGCCTACATGGGCACCGGCACATTTACACAGTACAGGAAAAACACCCCCATATAATACAAAAATAAAGCATGCAAAAAAGAACTCATGGTCTTCTCTCCCAGCAAGACGGAAAATCTCACTGAGGACAGAAGGGGAACTTGTCTTTGAAGTGCAAGTTCCAAAGGGGTAGGAGATTCTGGTGTTGACATGGGATGTTGAGGAGTAGAGGGAAATAAAGTCTCTGTAAGTCATCACACTGGATGAGATAAAGAGGAAAAAGATGCAGCCTGGCCTGGGGCTTGCAGAACAGTCGGGATGGAGGAGGAAGATGCAGGAAAACCAATGAAGAAAGCAATTGCAGGAGCCTGCTCCTTGGTACGTCAGGGCTTGCTGCTAATGGCTAGGTAAGGCTTGCTCCCGCTAAGGGAACCTGCATCTACAGAGCAGACTTTAGTGAAGATCTGGGCCTCTTCCAGCTGGTGTTTAAGAGAGCTGATTCAGTGATCTGGGGAGATGGCAGCTTACAATTTTTTGTGGAGTGGATTGGGGGCGATTAACTTTCTGTGCTTCTTCCACCTCCTGGCCAGTGTGTGGGAGGGCTATTGGCCAATGCTGAGTCATCACTTCCAACAGAGAGTGTATACCAGGGAGACATCAGATGACCACTCCCACAAAGGAGGGACATACTATTGGTCTTATAGGTGTGCGCTATGAGTGGCTACCAGTCTTAGAGCAGTTGTATACAGTTATGGATCTAAGCCATATCCCTGGGTCTGTGGTGTGGCATCTCCAGTGAGGTCTGGTGCTCTACAGGCAACTCAACTTGTTCTTTCCTGACAAAACCTGTTTCCTTAAAGGATATCTGAACTCTGGGACCAATGCTAGGCACCCCGTGGAACACGTGGGTGTGGAACAGCCATTAAGAGTTGATCCATAAAGATCGCTTGGACTGTGAAGCAAGCAAGGGATGGAGCACTGAGACCCAGACTTCCCATAGTCCAAAGGTATGATTAACAGGCTATTGTCAAAGGGAAGTGGGGTGTCTCGGCCCCCAGACACTCTTGACACAAGAGGGAGGCACAAAGTTAGCACATTAATGTTCCAAGGAGGGACTTGGAGGAGGGTGTCTGTGGGGTTCCTAAACAGAGACAAGTTTCCCTGCCAGATGTGTGGTCCACTGTCCTGCTGGGACCCTCAACCACGCCCAACCTTCTAGTGATTTGATTGGCTCAAAACTGCACACAATCACCTGATACTCAGAAGACAGCAGGCATGTCCTTTCCCCACAAATCATATTCTGCTTTCCTTTTGCTTCACCAGACCTGCAGGAGGGTCTTCTAAGACCCCTCCCCCACCTTCTTCAGGTATTACACTGGCTTGGCAGGAGCAGAAGACTGAAAAGGTAAAATGTGGATGGTAACCCCACCATACATGCACTGGAAGCAACCAATGGTGAGAACAGGAAGCCAGAGCCCAGCAGGCTTCTTCTATTGGGGTGGCCTTTGTTCTGGCGGAGTCCACGGCGCGCTTTGTGTCCATGATCTGCAGAACTGTGAGCGCCCGCGCTTAGATGCCCTGAAACACTCCCCGGGCCAGCCACACGCAGGTGCCAAGCCAAGTGCTTACTTCTCAACTTGCTGTCCAAGTAATCAAATGTTTTAGCTGACAGTCAAAGTTCTCTCTGAATGCCATGAAATGTCTATAAACACTCACCTTTGGGTCTGTGTGCATGTGGAACTATGAACACTGAAGAACATACAGTCCTTCACAACTGAGTGAAGTTGTCACACTTTTTAAAAGAAAAGCGGGTGTTTGTAATAGCAATCTTTTAAAAAAGAAGCTTGCTAGTGTGGTACCAGGCCCTCAGGGGTTTCTAGAGATGGTACAAATGAAGCAACTGGATTTCCTTGTGAGAGCTTTGGGCAAATGAAGATCAAAGGCAAAAAGAAAAAAACAAACTCACTTTATTTGAAAGACAATGATTGGCATACAGAAGGTATGCACTAGCATAAAGTAAACTTTCATGAAAAGCATTAAAATCCATTATAAATTAATTTATTAAATAGGTATTTGGTATATGTGATGGTTTTATTAGATATTTCTCTTATTTATTGCCAACCCCTCCCCCAAAGTCAAAACAAATCAGAAAAATCTCATAACTCCAATTTACACTAAATAATTTATTTCCCCAAATGTGTATGTGTTCCAGATGTGGTAGATGACAGTTCAGCTGGCATCCTCCATCAATCACAATATGACAGGACACAAGAGGCTAAAAATGGCTCATCATAATTTATTTTATGTTAAAATGTACAGCTTTTTTTTTCTTTTTTTGAAGTAACTGACTAAAAAGAGAAGAGATAAATACGAGAGTGCTGCTGGCTCCTATTTTATACAAGGTCGTGCCTCTGCTTGGCCCTCACTGTCACCTGTATAGGTACAAAGGCTACAAAAGGAAGCAATATAAACAGACACAAATAACTTTTCTGCTTTTTTTACATGCGATTTGTAAGCTTAGTTTGAGCTATTCACAAGCTACTTTTCTATTTTTCCTTAAAAAATAACTCCAATATTTTATAAAGATAGAAAAATCTACAGATGGAATGAAAATGTAAAGTTAGAGGCTTTTCCATAAAATAGCAACTTTACACCAAATTCACTATTTTTTTTAATCCTGCCAAGTATTTGGACATATATGAAATGCTTCAAAACCTGACAGATAAATACTGAGATATGCTTCATTCAATAAACAGAAGTGTGCATTTATAAAACAGAAAGCTGCCTTTCCCCAAAGGAACCTGCCACCAGAATGGAAAAGGGTCTCAACTTTACACCAAACAGTTAGCAATAAACCCCCTTGACTAACCAGATGGGGACAGCTCTGATAGCTCTTTACAGTTTTATAATTAACAAAAATAGAGTTTTTTTTTTTAAACCCTCAAATTAGGGTACCCTAATCAAGGCAAAAAACTTAAGAAATGGCTTACTGTTAGCACAACACTTGTACAGTACTACAAAATGCACTGTCACTAACAAAGACATTAGCGGCATGCTGAAGTGTCACCTTAAACAAAATATACAGTAATTGAAATGCTAAAGGCATTTACATGGAGTTGACAAGGAAGGAAAAAAGCTCCAGGTTCAATATTAAAACAGGTGATCTGGGGAGGGGCTTGTATCCACACTGTTTAACGGAAGCGGGCACCAAGAGTGGCTGCTGCCTAACCGTAGTCCTAAGGGAGGCCTTCCTTTGCAGAGGATTTTATATAAAAGTAACAGAAACAAAGGTACCAAAAAAGAAAAAAGGAAAAAAGAAAAACAACTTGTATAAGGCTTTCTGCTGCATACAGCTTTTTTTTTTTTAAATAAATGGTGCCAACAATGTTTTTGCATTCACACCAATGCTGGTTTTGAAATCGTACTCTTCAAAGGTATTTGTGCAGATCAATCCAACAGTGTGGCCCAGTGGGCTCTGTGGGCTGCCAGGCTGCCTACCTTCTCATGTAGGACCCATTGAGAGATTGTTTGGACATGCCTGTGTTCATGTAGCCATGGTGTCCAGGGGCCGTGTACATCATGTTACTGTGGGGTGGGGTCTGCATTGGCTGCTGGGCATATGGCTGGGTCCCCATCATGCCCATCTGCATCTGCATAGGGTACTGGGGTGTTTGATTCATGTAGCCATGGTTGCTGTGGTAGCCACTGTTCATCATTGGCTGGGACATGCTGTATCCGTTCATGGCATTCAGAGTATTCATGTTCATATTCACAGAGTTGACGTTGTAGGCCGGTGCTGGCATCAGGTTTACACTCATGTTCATGCCTCTTTGCATTGTTAAAGTCCGTGCAGGACCCTGCATGGCTACAGTCTGGGAACGCCCATAGATTTGTGACTGATGGGGAGCAGTGGCTGGTGACAGAGATGCCGACTTGGTTCTCATGGAGACGTGACCCTTGCTGGCAATCTGAGTTTGCAGTCTTTGGCTGTGGGAGATGCCAATATTTGAAGTAGCCATGTTCCGCTGCAAAAGTGGTGGTGGCAGATTCATGGGAGGAGGAGTCAGGTTAGGGGGTGGGGTCATGGTAGCTTGTGCTTGGGGTCCCCCAGGGACGGAGTGTGGAGACTGAGAAAGCTGAACAAGCCCTGTGTTACTTAGTGGTGTGGACAAAGAGGCACTGTTTGCATAGGAAGTCACAGCAGCAGAATGGCTGTAAGGCAATGAATGGTCAATAAGTGTATTAGTTAACTGCTGCAGTTTGGCAAGGCTGAAGGTGGCAGATGGCTGTGGGTAGTGCCCAGCCCCAAAATCACTTTGACCCATTCGCTCATATAAGCCAATGTTGGCATTGCTGGTCTCAGGGATGTCAGCCAGCTGCATGGGTGGGGTAAAGTTGGCGGCCATACTGCACTGAGCTAGCTGCTGGTTGCTGCTGGGAGGCCTCTCCACCACACAGCCTTGGGGAGACTTGACGCTGCAGGTTGGAGGGGAGCTGATGCTGGGCTGCTGCAGCATGCTGCAGCTCCCACTGATGCTGGACATCTGCTGGGTGACGGCACAGCTGCTCTGCGTCAGATTGCTAGAGGTGAGGCTGCTGTAGGAGCAGCTGCTCTGGGAAGAGCCATTTCCGCAGATGCTGCCACCCATGGTTGAGTCATAGCTGCTTGGGTTTTCGTAGTTTTCCGTTGTGCTCTCGATACTGCCCAGGTCACTAAAGCCACTGTCAACGACTTGCTGTGAGTGATCTGAGACTGACGGCACATCCATCATGGGGCTGGTCTCCATGCTCTGCAGAGGTGGCACTGTGATAGCAGTCTGATCGGGGCTGATTTGGGCATAGCTATTCTCTAGGGCGGGGACATTGGGGCTATTGACAGAACGAACTGACTGGCCAGGATGGGAATGGACAGATGAAACTGGGCTGTGGTCTGACTGTTGGCATTCGTCCAGAGTGGTGGCGATTTGAGGGCTTTGGTCTGAATGTGTATAGTTCTGCAGGGTTCTACAGGCTTCTTGAGTCTCGGCACAATCCTGAAAGGTGTCATCGTGTTCCCTGTTTTCTTGGGTCAAAGACTGAACAGCCTGGACGGTCTCCGAGTCAATTTCCACAGGTGCTGTGCCTCCCTCTTTGAGCTCCTCATTGACATCATCACCGTTCTTCTGGTCCTGCTTCTGAGTCTGTTCTTCTGGGGGCTCCTCATCAGACTCGGGTGCAGTTCCAGTGTCTCCAGAAAGTTCTTTCGTCTCATTGGTAGACGCAACTGCAAGATCTACGCCGCAATCCATAAGGACCTCAGGGTTAGAATGACCAGGGTGAATACTAAGGTCTAAAAAAGCTTCCTGGCTCTCTAGTGCATCCTTGAAGGCTTCTTTCGGGAGGTCACCCCTCTCCATGTCAGCAGACTCCATGTGACTGTCATCTTCATCATCTGCGTCATGGTCCTCATTGTGAGATGGCTCTTCCTCCTCTTCCTCTTCCTCCTCGTGATCATCTGGATGCACAGGATCTTCTTTTTCCATGCAGATTTCTGGTTCTTCTTTTTCTTTACTTTTAGCACCATCTTGGTCTTTTTCTGCAGTTCCTCCTTCTTCTTCTTCCTCCTCCTCCCGTTCTTCCTCTTCTTCCTCCTCTTCCTCCTCCTCAGCTTTGATGAGGTCCTCCTCATCTACCTTTTTACTTGGTGATTTACAAGGACTCATAGGTGCGCCTGTCTCTTCCTTTCTTTTCCCTTCCTGCGGCAGCAGTGTTTCCATGGCCTCGGTCACCTCCCGCTCTGTTCCCACAGGGCTGCTCCTGTCTTCCGAGACCTCCTTCTGCTCTTCTGCTGCCATCTGGTCGTCTGGCTCCATGGGTGTTTCCGGTGGGGTGTATAGGTTCAGTTTAAACCCCGTCTTCCTCTCCTTGTTTTGTTTCCACTTGGAGAGCCCTCGCTTTGTTCCTTTGGGCCATGCGTGTTTGTACTTTAGGGCTTCAGAATTATCTTTGCTGCCTTCTTTCAAGCATTCTGCATTATCATCCATGTCGTCTTAATGAAGAGACAACAAGAGAGAAGAAGAAAAGCACAAGTTTAGAAAGTAGAACCACACACAACCTGACACGTATCTCTAGATTTATTAGCAAGCACGGCTTTCAATTTAGTATGTTAAGAGGTGATGGGAAAGATAATTGAGAATATTGTGGCATAAACCAAGCTGAGTAACCTAGGCCAAGGAAGGTAAATGACATTCTATGATGTAAAAGCAGGGAGTTCCACAATACTAAACAAAACAAAACAAAACCAAAACCCAATTTCAACATCAACAAATCTGGAAATTCAGAGGGATAGGAGTAATGCTAGTTTATATTCAAATCATCACTGCACTGGGAAAAGGAAGAGGACTAATGTCCTAGCTGAGGAAAGTC